GGAGGCCACTGACATTTTTTTCCTACTCATCTTTTCTGGCTGTTTTTCACTAGTTTTGCATTTGGCTAGGGTCAGTGTCACAACTGGTTGCATGAGGCAATACCTGGACCCTACAGAGGTTGCACAGGCAGTCCAACTCCTCCAAGATGACACATCAATACGTGCCATTGCCAGAAGGTTTGCTGTGTCTCCCAGCACAGTCTCAAGAGCATGGAGGAGATTCCAGGAGACAGGCAGTTGCTCTAGGAGAGCTGGACAGGGCCGTAGAAGGTCCTTAACCCATCAGCAGGACCGGTATCAGCTCCTTTGTGCAAGGAGGAACAGGATGATCACTGCCAGAGCCCTACAAAATGACCTCCAGCAGGCCACTGGTGTGAATGTCTCTGACCAAACAATCAGAAGCAGACTTCATGAGGGTGACCTGAGGGCCCGACGTCCTCTAGTGGGCCCTGTGCTCACTGCTTGGCACCATAGAGCTAGATTGGCATTTGCCATTGAACACCAGAATTGGCAGGTCCACCACTGGCACCCTGTGCTTTTCACAGATGAGAGCAGGTTCACCCTGAGCACATGTGACAGACATGAAAGGGTCTGGAGGAACAATGGAGAATGTTATGCTGACTGTAACATCGTTCAGCATGACCGTTTTGGTGGTTGGTCAGTGATGATCTGGGGAGGCATATCCATGGAGGAACGCACAGACCTCTACAGGCTAGACCAGGGGTGGGCAAACTTTTTGACTTGAGGGCCGCAATGGGTTCATATATTGGACCCGGGGGCCGGACCAAGAGTAGATGAATGATGTGTATGTGTCATCCATAGTAAGTATAGTAATATTCCCCCATATAGTAATTCATCCCCCATATAGTAATTCATCCCCCATATAGTAATTCATCCCCCATATAGTAATTCATCCCCCATATAGTAATTCATCCCCCATAGTAATTCATCCCCCATATTAATTCATCCCCCATAGTAATTCATCCCCCATATAGTAATTCATCCCCCATAGTAATTCATCCCCCATAGTAATTCATCCCCCATAGTAATGCATCCCCCATATAGTAATTCATCCCCCATATAGTAATTCATCCCCCATATAGTAATTCATCCCCCCATATAGTAATTCATCCCCCATAGTAATTCACCCCCCCCCCCTATAGTCATTCATCCCCCCTATAGTCATTCATCCCCCCTATAGTCATTCATCCCCCATATAGTAATTCATCCCCCATATAGTAATTCATCCCCCATATAGTAATTCATCCCCCATAGTAATTCATCCCCCATAGTAATTCATCCCCCCCATATAGTAATTCATCCCCCATAGTAATTCATCCCCCATAGTAATTCATCCCCCAAAATAGTAATTCATCCCCCATAGTAATGCATCCCCCATATAGTAATTCATCCCCCATAGTAATTCATCCCCCATATAGTAATTCATCCCCCATATAGTAATTCATCCCCCATATAGTAATTCATCCCCCATAGTAATTCACCCCCCTATAGTCATTCATCCCCCCTATAGTCATTCATCCCCCATATAGTAATTCATCCCCCATATAGTAATTCATCCCCCCTATAGTAATTCATCCCCCTATAGTAATTCATCCCCCATATAGTAATTCATCCCCCATAGTAATTCACCCCATATAGTAATTCATCCCCCCTATAGTAATTCATCCCCCCTATAGTAATTCATTCCCCATATTAATTCATCCCCCATAGTAATTCATCTCCCATACTAATTCATCCCCATATAGTAATTCATCCCCCATATAGTAATTCATCCCCCATATAGTAATTCATCCCCCATATAGTAATTCATCCCCCATATAGTAATTCATCCCCCATATAGTAATTCATCCCCCATAGTAATTCATCCCCCATTAGTAATTCATCCCCCATATAGTAATTCATTCCCCATATTAATTCATCCCCCATATTAAGTCCCCAAGTCCCCCCTGTGTCAATTCACTTACCTTTGCTCCGCGCGTTCCTCTCGCCGTGTTCCCGCGCCGTTCCGGTGTAGCATGAAAATCTGTCTCCTATGAGGATCTGTCCCCCTCGACGTATCTGCGCATGTGCCAGTTTCAGGCATTAGCAGCCGATCGGCGATCTCCGGCACATGCGCAGATACGTCGAGGGGGACAGATCCTCATAGGAGACAGATTTTCATGCTACACCGGTCTTCAGGGCGGACTGTGAGAGGAGCCTAGCGGGAGCCTAGCTCCGCGGGCCGGATTAAAAGGTCCGCCGGGCCGTATACGGCCCGCAGGCCATAGTTTGCCCATTGCTGGGCTAGACAATGGCACCCTGACTGCCATTAGGTATCGGGATGAAATCCTTGGACCCATTGTCAGACACTACGCTGGTGCAGTGGCCACAGGCTGATAGCTTCCATGCCACGCCGCATTGAGGCAGTATTTGCTGCAAAAGGGGCCCAAACCAAGTACTGAGTACATATGCATGCTTATACTTTTCAGAGGTTCGATATTGTTCTGTGTACAATCCTTGTTTTATTGATTGCATGTAATATTCTCATTTTCTGAGATGTGGATTTGGGGTTTTCATGAGCTGTAAGCCATAATCATCACAATTATGACAAATCACGGCTTGAACTATCTTGCTCTGCATGTAATGAGTCTATCGCATATATTAGTTTCACCTTTTAAGTTGCATTACTGAAATAAATGAACTTTTTCACGATATTCTAATTTTTCGAGTTTCACCTGTATATAATGGCCGCACTTGTTAAAACAATTCCAATACGTTGCATACCTGAAATATGGCAGATTGAAAGTCTTTATATATGGAATGTAATATCCATGATCTCTCTGTGATCAGTGATTTGATATAGAGTTGGGAACTTTATAAAAATTAGCCTTCAGTTTAGTGTGTCTAATAAAAGTTGATTTCTGAATGAATATTCCAGATGTGTCTATTACTCCTCAAGACATTGTGTGATAGTAAAGAATTTTTTCCATGTGCAATTAAAGTATATGTATATGTAAAGTATATGTAAATTCAGTTTAAAAAAAGAAATGAAAGGCAAAACATTTGTGTATAGATATAAAAAAACATAAGTAACTTTTTCCCCCATTTTATAAGTGATCGCATGCCCCCTAAGGTTTTTACGCAGCTGAGAACAGAGAGCTTGGGGAGGAGAAACAGCAGCATATTGAACTGAACAGAAGTCTGATCAATGGAAGAGAGCAGGCTGAGTTCCCAGCAGAGCTAGAGAACTGACCACGCTGTGCTGTCATGCCTAGTGTGGTCAGTTTTAAATAGGAAAACAGAGGGACTGGCAGCATCACCAGGGTTTTTTTTCTTTACAAAGGAAGCAATACAGAGAGAACAGGATACTTTTTCATGCAAGTACATGGTCCAGCAGGCACATATCAGGAATATGAAATGTTGGGTTTACATAGTCTTTAAGCTGTGTATGAGCCTGTTGGTATAAATTACAGTTGGTATATGCAGACACATGGGGGTGTATTGATTAAAAAAAAATGCAGAGCTATAGAGCTATCCATCCTGAAAAACTGCATGCACATTCCTTTTATGAAATAGGGTGCAAAATCATATGTTATTAGGCTATTTATTTTCCAGGTTGTATGTTCTTCATTCATACAGAATACAATAAATCAGGAAAATACTACATTCTGGTCACTAGATGGAGCTGGTGGTTTTAAATTCTTACTATGATCATCATCCTCATCTAGTGGTCAGAATATAATATATTTCTGATTCACTCTATTCTTTTTGAATGAAGAACATCCGACCTGGAGAGAAAATCCCCTATTAACATTTGATTTGCTGGCGCTCCCACAGAATGAATGCAAATGCAGTTCCGTGGACTGAATAACTCTGCAATTTATTTTCTTTATAAATACACCTCATAGTCACGTGGTTCACAAATTTTGATCACAGGGGGCTCTGAGTAGGTCTCAGTGACCCATGGAGATAAGCTGTCCTCTTCAGAGTTTAAAGGCATTAAATGAAAATCAAGTCGCTTTCAGTCTGTTTGTCTAATGATTCACGGGTGTCAAACTGGCGGCCCTCTAGCTGTTGCCAAACTACAAGTCCCATGAGGCATTGCAAGATTGACAGTTACAAGCATATGTGAAATAGAAATCGGTATCCAAAATGATATCTATAATAAGCTGTGATATAATAAACACCTAATATATTGACACTTAAAAGTCCCACTTTCACCCTTGAAAGTCCAAAAATAATAAACCTTTCAAGTGTCAGTGAAAATATTTAAAAAAACTCCAAAAATTATTCATCCAAGTTCTGATTCATAATCACCGTGTATCTTTTTTTTTTTTTTTTTTTTTTTTTCTTGGAGATACACTGTGATTATGAATCAGAACTTGGATGAATAATTTTTGGAATTTCTTAGAGTTTTTTTAAAATATTTTCACTGAAACTAGAAAGGTTTATTATTTACAGTTACAAGCATGACTCCCAAAGGCAGAGGAATGATGGGACTTGTAGTTTCACAACAGCTGGAGGGTCGCCAGTTTGACACCCCTAATCCCTGCGCTCCATCTAGTGCCTGCCCTGGGTAGCAGACTGTAGAGGCTAGGTTGTCTTGGGACCAGGGGCAGACTGACCATTTGGAAAATCGGGCACAGCCCGAGGGCCCGGGGTCAGTAGGGGGCCCCATGGGATGCCCCTGGTACCTTTTTGATAGGATTTTTGAGTTTGGGTAAGGACACAGGACCCCATGATCCCCTATTGCCCGGGGGCCCCATGAGTTGTCAGTCTGCCCCTGCTTGGGACTCTTTTATGGGTTACTTTATATAAGTGTGGTTTACAAATTTTATACCAGTGTGCAAGTGTAGGCTTTTTTTTTCTTCAGTACTTTGATGTATTTTTTTTTTAATATTATATAATTTATTTTTTTGCAAATGGGCATGTTTATTTCAGAAAATGTCAACTTTACAGAAGTATATGATCATTTTCTAAGCTTTACTTTGTTCTCTTAGATTCTGTTCGCCACAGAGACTTTTGCCATGGGAGTTAACATGCCGGCTCGCACGGTGTGGTGTTCGATTCAATCCGAAAACATGATGGCACCAACTTCCGAGACCTGACTCCAGGTATGATACACTTCTTCAAGTGATTGTCCCAGTAGGGAAGTCATCCACTTCACTGTTTTTGCATGCACTGATAAGACATGGTACAAGAATGCAGGAACCACCCAAATCTGACTGAAGCAGTTCATAGATGATTCCGTTTTTTTTCGTTCAACCAGCAGGTTGAATGAAAAAAAAATGACTCGATTTCCCCATCCACAAATTCAAGGTGGATGGGGGATTCACTCCCACTGAGCTATTGTGTTCTGACATCCAGGATACTGTTGGGGTTGACACAGTGGCACTTGTTGGCAAAAAAGCCTTCATATAATTTGCTGTTTCTGTTTATAGGAGAATATATACAGATGGCCGGCCGTGCTGGGCGTCGAGGTTTGGACAATACTGGTATGGTGATAATATTATGTAAATCAGACGTACCAGAGATGAGCGATTTGCACAAGATGATGCTGGTGAGTAGCAGACAGAGAGAGTTTAGACCAGTATGTATGGGGTAACAATGATGTGCAAAGTGCACTAATCAGATAACCAATCAGATTAAATTTTTCACAGATCTACAGTAAACAAAATTCTGATTTGATGTCAGAAGTTTGTACATCCCAATTGCGCCTTGGTGTATTATATATGTCTTGGATAATTTCTCTTGCACAGGGGAAGCCCACTCAGTTACAATCTCAGTTTCGACTCACGTACTCCATGATCCTGAATCTACTCCGCGTTGAAGCGTTGAGAGTGGAGGACATGATGAAAAGAAGTTTTGCAGAAGCCAGAACACAAAAAGACAGCAAGGTGAGTATAAGCTTTAGGACAAGTTTGGGGTATTAAAAAAATCAGTCCAGTGCTGCAACTGTTCCCTGTTGGCTCTGAGACCAAGACCTGAATGGTTACATGATCGCAGATCGCTTGGTTCTCAAGCTTCACTGAGCAGAGAGCGGTGACTGTCAGGCACCGACTCTCTGGTCTGCTCCTCCAGCACTCGCTGAAGCTTTAGGCTGGGGAGGGAGCAGCTGGCTCAGGCTCTGTAGTGTGCTGAGAGGTTGAGCCTGCTGCCAGTCAAGCATCTGGGTGGGTCCCTGCAGAGCCTGGAACAGCTCTGTGACGCCAGTCGACAGCAGACTTTAGCCCGTTGTCAGCTGAATATGGGTCACAGAAATAAGTGCACTCCTGTCACCCAGAAGAGAAGAATGGCCAAAAGAGCTTTAACCGTACTTCTCTTTTAAATATGTGTACCTTGGAGAATTAAAGGGCTGAATTATTTAAGATAGAGAAAATATTGAGCTATTGCCTATACATGTTGAGGCGGAAGCTGTGAATCTACCCCAGCCAAATGCAGGACAGACAGACAGAAGGGAGCTATGAGCCTGTCCTCCTCCTGCAGGGCGACACAGAAGGGAGCTATGAGCCTGTCCTCCTCCTGCAGGACAGACAGACAGAAGGTAGGTATTAGCCTGTCCTCCTCCTGCAGGGCGAAACAGACAGAAGGGAGCTATGAGCTTGTCCTCCTGCAGGGCGACACAGACAGAAGGGAGCTATGAGTCTGCCCTCCTCCTGCAGGGTGACACAGACAGAAGGGAGCTACGAGTCTGTCCTCCTCCTGCAGGGCGACACAGACAGAAGGGAGCTATGAGCCTGTCCTCCTCCTGCAGGGTGACACAGACAGAAGGGAGCTACGAGTCTGTCCTCCGCCTGCAGGGCCACACAGACAGAAGGGAGCTATGAGCCTGTCCTCCTCCTGCAGGGAGACCAGGATATATGGGAGCTGAGTCTGTCCTCCTCCTGCAGAGTGACACAGACAGAAGGGAGCTATGAGTCTGTCCTCCTTGCAAGGTGACACAGACAGAAGGGACCTCTGAGTCTGTCCTCCTCCTGCAGGGTGACAGGATTAGAAATGAGCTATGAGTCTGTCCTCCTCCTGCAGGGTGACCCAGACAGAAGGGAGCTAGGAGTCTGTCCTCCTCCTGAAGGGTCATACAGACAGAAGGGGGCTATGAGCCTGTCCTCCTCCTGCAGGCTTACACAGACAGGGCTATGACTCTGTCCTCCTCCTGCAGGCTGACACAGAGAGAAGGGAGCTATGCGTCTGTCTTCCTTCTGCAGGGTGACACAGACAGAAGGGAGCAAGAAGTCTGTCCTTTTCCTGCAGGGTGACCCAGACAGAAGGGGGCTATGAGTCTGTCCTCCTCCTGCAGGGTGACATGGACAGAAGGGAGCTATGAGTCTGTCCTCCAGCAGGGTGACACAGAAAGAAGGGAGCTGTGAGTCTGTCCTCCAGCAGGGTGACACAGAAAGAAGGGAGCTGTGAGTCTGTCCTCCTCCTGCAGTTTGACACAGAGAGAAGGAAGCTATGAGTCTGTCCTCCTACAGGGTGACACAGAGAGAAGGGAGATATGAGTCTGTCCTCCTCCTGCAGGGTGACACAGACAGAAGGGGGCTATGAGCCTGTCCTCCTCCTGGAGGCTTACACAGACAGGGCTATGACTCTGTCCTCCTCCTGCAGGCTGACACAGAGAGAAGGGAGCTATGAGTCTGTCCTCCTGCAGGGTGACACAGAGAGAAGGGAGATATGAGTCTGTCCTCCTCCTGAAGGGTCATACAGACAGAAGGGGGCTATGAGCCTGTCCTCCTCCTGCAGGCTTACACAGACAGGGCTATGACTCTGTCCTCCTCCTGCAGGCTGACACAGAGAGAAGGGAGCTATGCGTCTGTCTTCCTTCTGCAGGGTGACACAGACAGAAGGGAGCTAGAAGTCTGTCCTTTTCCTGCAGGGTGACCCAGACAGAAGGGGGCTATGAGTCTGTCCTCCTGCAGGGGACACGGACAGAAGGGAGCTATGAGTCTGTCCTCCAGCAGGGTGACACAGAAAGAAGGGAGCTATGAGTCTGTCCTCCTCCTGCAGTTTGACACAGAGAGAAGGGAGCTATGAGTCTGTCCTCCTCCTGCAGTTTGACACAGAGAGAAGGGAGCTATGAGTCTGTCTTCCTGCAGGGTGACACAGAGAGAAGGGAGATATGAGTCTGTCCTCCTCCTGCAGGGTGACACAGACAGAAGGGAGCTATGAGTCTGTCCTCCTCCTGCAGGGTGACACAGACAGAAGGGCGCTATGAGTCTGTCCTGCTCCTGCAGGATGACAGAGGATGAAACAATGAGTCTGTGCCTTCTTTTGTAGGGTGACATAGAAACCCCATTAACTTACCATAGGGATGGTTTTTTTTTGAGGTATATGGGTGGAGGTGAAGTTATTCAACATATTCAATATTTATTTAACAGGCTCATGAACAGCGAATGAAGGTCCTCACCAAAACATTGGGGGATATGGGGGAAATTGAATGCACAGGGGACCTGGCCGACCTGCAGGACTACTTTTTGACTGTACAGGAACTCATCTGTACCAGAGAAACTTTACAGGTAAAGCACAGTGCAAATCGAATGGTTTATTCAGAGATGCTGGATTGCTACATTTGGAATAGAGAGATATATTTTGAGATATATATTTATGCACACTCAACCTTATGTGTGGTTTGTCTTTGTTTCCCTATCTAGAGAAAGGTGGTAGAGTCCATCAATGGAATGAAGTGCCTGAGTGTGGGTCGTGTCATCATCATCAGCACCGAATACCACACATGGGTGCCTGGAGTCATCCTGCAGGTAGCAATGGAGGGCTAGTGATGGGTCAGTGAACTAGTTTTGGGAAGGCATTTGTCAAAGAGTCATATTAACAAAGTTAACATAACAAACATAAATTAGATTTAAAAAGAAGAAAATTATTTGGTAATTGTTGTGTTTAGACTGTTGCAACTTTCAGACTCAAACCGGATAAGGTGTGGGAAAATAGTTTTGAAGAACTCCGCTGCTAAATTCATTATGGAAAAGTAGACTTACTAGCCTGTAGAATGGATTAGGGATCACTCAGATCAAATCCTTTAATGGTCATCTATAACAGTTTGGGTTCTTTTTCATATCTTTTTAAGGCTTTATTTTCCAATCAATCATCTAGTACAAGGTATAGCCAAAGCACAGCAAAACGTTTCCCCACAGATTGCCTGTCTCAGAAAGAGAGAGGATTCTTTGTTCTACTTATTCAGTTGTGTGTGTTGATTTCTGGAGTTTAACATATTGAGTTAAAAGAAAGCAAGCGTTTTTCAGTGCAGAGCAGCTAAGAATAGCTAAGAACCCCCCGCTGGGTAAATGTGAAAATGAAACAAAAATATTCAATACACATATGACATTCTGTACATATATGACATTCAGCTTCAGCCTGCTGTCAGCTGAAAACGGATCACAGGAGTGAAAAATGAACTGCACTTCTGTGATCCACAGGGGGAAGTACAGCAAAAAAAGCTTTGACTATACTTCTCCTTTAACAATAGATCTAAGCTCCTCTTATGTAGGCACTGCAAATGATTGTGTTTTAGTCATTTCATTTCAATCAGAGTTTCATTTTTTTTTTGCCATATCTGCCCTTTATTTTTAACATCAGGTGTCCTCAGATGCCAGTAACAGGATTTATACCACCCTGGTGCTGTGTGAGAAGAAGCGGGATGGTGGAACGCCCTCAGCAGAGAGAGGAGAGAAGGATGACAAGCAGGTACCATTCCCTGCTGATCTCCTGATGGGCAAAGTGTTCAGACCTGAAGGTGAGCAGAGACCATGGTGGGGACTTATTGAAGTGTCTGAAGGAAGGACTGTCTGATTATTATAGCGTCCAATCAACGTCTACCTTTCATGTTACAATATATGATAGAAAAATTAGTGGCCAAATATGATTACTTAACCCCTTCACGCCGACGTCACTCAAATATGCGTCCTCACAGAACTGGGCTTTTTCCGCGGGGCCACATATTTGCGTATCTGTCTTTGTGCTGGGAGCGCCACACAGCGCACTCCCAGCACAAAGACCGGAGTGTCACTGAGAGCCTCGGGTCCCGTTCTAACGATTGGGACCCGGGACTCCCAATTGCAGGTCACCTGATCGCTGTGATAGCCTCTGATTGGCTATCACAGTGATCAGTCACTGTATACCCCGCCCCCCTTGGTTTTTTTTTTCTCTCTGAATGGAGGAGAGAGATACATTGTATCTCTCTCCTTGCATAGAGTAAAAATAAATATTAAAAAATAAAATAAAAAATACCTAGATTAAGGATTTATCTAGTTCACTGCCAAGGTTAGTGATTGGATCAGGGTCAAAGGTCAGTATTTTTTTTTTATTTATTTTTTTTAAATTGGTGTCAGTGTGTTTTAGGTAAAAAAAAAAACAAAAACAAAATGCACACTCTTGTTTCTGGGCTGTACTGAAGGTACAAACAACAAATAACATACACGTATCTGGTATCGCTGCGATCATCAAGAGCTGGAAAATGCATTTTGGGTTGTTCTTTCGGGGTAGGTTATGGTAGTAACAAGAAACACACAGCTAAATTAACCACTTCACGCCTAAGGGTAAAACAAATCTTAA